AAAAAATAAAAAAATAAAAATAAAAAATAAAAAAAGGCAAATAAAAAACAAGAGAAGCCAAGTAAGAAAATACTTTAAAAAGGCAGTGGCACACCAGCTGAGCACTCCTGGCTGGAGACTGGTCATGGTGCTGGCTGTGATCCTGGCGGTCCCACGGCGTGTCCCTACTCCCACCCAGTCTCTCAGTGCATGATTGGTCCTACCACACCACACAAAGGAAGGGTGACTCCCGTCAGCCCAGGACTAAAGGTGCCTGGTACAGCATCCCAGGAAGTGTGGCTCACCTCCAGGAAGGCGTTCATCTGCTTCTGGACCCTGTTCACAAACCTCCACTGGATGACCAAGCTGTAGGGGCAGTGAATCACAAAAATGACAGATATCAGAAACAATGCCTTATGTTTACACATGCTAAACAATCTTCCTATCCATTTTAACTACTTTTGTGCATTTTCATTACAGAAAAGAAGTTGGGAGAGAAATAAAACATTTGATCCTCGCTGGTTCCTAATTTTACCTCACTGGTCCCTTGACATTGTATTCCACTGTTGTAATTCTAAATTTTATCTAGTTTTTTTGAGACAGAGTCTCTCTTTGTTGCCCTGAGCTGTAGTGCATTGGTGTCATCACAGCTGAATGCAATCTCAAACTCCTGGGTTCAAATGACTCCTCCTATCTCAGCCTCCCGAGTAGCTACCTGGAACTTACAGGTATCTGCCACCAGCCCTGGTTGTTTTTCTAGGGGGAGTGGAAATGGGAGTCTTGCTACGTTGCTCAGGCTGGTCTCGAACTCCTCGACTCAAGTGACCCTCCTGCCTTGGCCTCCCGAAGTGCTAGGATTATAGGTGTGAGCCACTGTGCCCAGCCTGCAATTCTAAATTTGAGCTGTGCCATCCACATACTCCAAGAGCATTTACCATATCGCTTGATGACATGCACCTTTTCTTCCTCCTCTATGCCTCTGTATGGCAGCTCACTGGAGGATGATAGCAGGCACACTCTCCACCCCACACCCAAGACAGAAAAGAACTCATACTGTTGAAAACTGACCAATGAACTCATGCCCACAGTATCCAAGAGCTATTTTGGTAATGAATGTCAACAAATATACTGTTCAATTTATTAAAAGAAAAGGTTGTAAATATGTGTATACGTACTCAATATATTCCCTTTTGTTTTCATTGGTTACCATTATTTCTGACCCATTGGGTTTCAGATCCACTTGATATGTCTGTAATTACAAAGATAAAACAACAATCACCATCATGAGGTTATTTTGTGTATTAATGAGTCATAATGTCTTACCATGAAAGGAAGATAATCAAAATTTATTCAGAAATACTTCTCAGTAAATGGGCTCTGCGCACCAGAGAATTTCTAATGGGTCTTTCAAATTGTTAAGATGCTCTACATTTAAACAAGCTATCATTAAAGGCAAATTGTTTTATGGTTATTTATGAGTTTTAATTATTCTTCACACATTGGCAATAACAGAGAAGAGTAACATTGTTTCCAGTTGCTATTCATTTATCAGGAAATTAATTATGTTTAACAGAGAAAAGAACAGGCAGGGTACATCCATCAAGACTACAGAGATCCAAATTCTAACCCATTTTGTTTCTGGAAGTTCAATTTTACGGTCATAAAAAAGGATGCGTGAAACTTCTTTCAGAGAGGCAAACGTAAGGACTTGAAAGAAGAGACGAAAGCAGCAAACAAGCCACCTTCTTAGGAAGCCGGGCTGAAGAGGTGGATTTACCTGCCTTTCTAAGGCCCACAGACATTTCTCTGCACCAGGACACCCGCCCCCAGCCCACCTGCTGGGGAGCTCCCTCCCTTAGAACCACCCACGACCGTATATGAGCACAGAGCTGATCCCAGGCAGCAACTCTGCCTGTGAGGCAGGGAGAGAGGCCTACCATTTTAAAATATAATGTTTATTCTCATTATAGACATTTTGGGGAAAAGAAGTTGAAAAATATACCACCCACAACTCCCCTATTGGACTGAAGCCACGTCACCATCTTGGTGGGGTTCCTTTTAGTTGTTTTGCTGAGCCTGCCTGGCTGTACTGCAGAGTAAACGGAACTGGGCGAGGGGGTTTCCAGAATTAAGTGTCAGTGTTATAACATGAGGAGGATACAGATTCCCACCTATAAAGCAAGCTGTGCCTGGGCAGTGGTCCCCCCGCCTCTGCCACCCACACCCCGGGGAAGCCTGAGCCCTTCTGACCCAGATACCCACACTCTGCTGCACAGCACACTTTCTCTCCACATGTCTGACTCTTGCTCCTGTTCACACTGAGGGCTTTTAAAATTAAAACTCACTGGTCATTGATCTAGTCTCCTTACAGTTATTTTTCTTATTTAGAAAGGGATCTTGTTTCTCCACCCCATAACTGAACTCCATTTTCTACTAAGTCAGAGTAACTCGTTACTGCGCCCCATATGGATTTTAAACCTGCTGCTGTATTTCTGGTTTTCCTGGAATACTTCCTTATACCCCACATTCCGCTCCCCTGTGGCTGGCTGCCTTCCCAGCTCACCCTGTCTCCTCTCGGTGGCATCTGCTCCTGCCTGGCCCAGGACATGACAGGGAGAGAGGATGCCAGGCAGCTTTCACTCGGCTGGGGACATCCCTACAGCAAAACACTGCCAGCTCTTCACTGGTGTTTTAGAGGACTGAACACAATATTCACTTACCTTTTGTTCTGTTTGTTTGTTTAATTGTTGGGGATTCATTAAGGGTACAAAGAACCAGGTTACACTGATTGCATTGGTTAGATAAATGTTCAGTTTTTTAATATAATGTATCGTCTGTTCTTTTATTTCCCATATAGTCCCCCTAAAGACTGCCTTGCTGCTCCCTGCAGTGATGGGGTCTTTCTAGCAGATCCACACTGAAGACAAGTTACTAAATCCAAGGCCAGTTCTTGGGACTGAGCAGGCGTTCAGTACAGCTCAGAGACACGAAGACCCTTCTTCCCTTCGTCACCCCACAGGTCTCTGGGATCCTAAGTCAAAACCCCTTGGGACCCAACCACCAGAGCTCAGCTCTCCGTCTTTCTCTGCTCACTGGCCTCCCCAGGGGTTGTCTGGGAGCAGCAGTTTCCAGAAAGTTGCAGAGTCAGAGGCACAGGATAGCAGGGGAGAGCAAAGGAGAAGCCCCTGCCTGGCCCCCAAACAGCAAACCGAGCTGGAGCCGCAGAGTGTGGAGAAATTGTTCTCATCAAAACTAGCGGTGGGAGTCGAGCTGGTTCAACCTTTTTGGAAGATACTTTGGCAACAGGCATCAAAATTTTAAAGTGCATATCCCTTTTCACAATAATTTCTCTTTTAGAATTTATGCTACAGAAAAAAAACAGCTAATATATAAAATACATATCCCCAGGTTACAATTTATATGTTACATATAAAGAGATATTCCAAGATTATACAGAATTCCATGTTTAGATTGGGAAATACTAAAATAGCTTGAACACCAACCAACAGGGCACGGTCAAAAACACATGGCACATCCACAAAACGGAATCCAGGGTAGCTATTAAAATGGGCAGATGGGTACCACTGAAAGGTGTCTGTGATATACATTCCATTCCCATAAAAAATATCTGGCATGTGTGGTTAAAGGGAATACTTCTGGAAGATATAAATCAATGTTTTTTTAATCATGGTTTTTCTTGAGATAGTGGGAATGACAGATGATATAGATTTTTATTGTATCAGCTTTATTCTTATTATAAAGGTTAACATTTTATCATAAGATAAACTGAACTGTTTTTGAAAAGGGATCATACTATCCACGCTAAATAACGAGGATGTAAGCAATAAATCACTCTGTGGGCAGCTGTCCAGAGTGGTGGTTCACCCTGATCACAGGTTTCTCTGCTGGGCAGTGAGGGGAGGGCTTTAGTTTTACGCCTTAAGCTACTAGGTAGGGAAAAATGTCCCAGTTGTGGCCATAGTTGCTTCTCAGTTCAAACACCTACAGTTGTTGAATTTCCTTCCTCCTTGGGTTCGTCACAGATGTCCTTTCCACAGGAAGCAATGACCACAGCCAAATTCCACGTCTTAGTCTGGCCAGGGCTGACTGTGAGACTGCCCCGCCCCACCCCAGCCTGGGTGGCAGGAGCAGTGCCAGGCCCATCACAAGTGAAATCACTGCACCCCCTGCTACCAGGCAGGCCCCCTTGCTGCCTTTCTCAGCTGACAGTGAGGCTCTGGGGGAAGTGGAGAGGGCTGGGATGCAAGGCCTGACTCCAAAGTGCGACTCTGCACACGGTTTCTCTGGGGGCCTCCCTTTCCGCCACACATCTGTCCAACTACGGCCTTGTTGCGCTTTGGCTTTCCCCCACACTTCACACCTCCTGATTTCAGATGCTGCCATCACAGGAGAGGAAGGACTGTATGTCCTCACAACTGCCACCTGACACAGAGGCTGTGGTCTCAAAGGGGCAGGGTGAGTAGTGCAGAGCAGGGAGAAGACCTGGGGGCTCCCCCAATCCTGCCTGCCCCTAGAGGTGATGCAGGTGGGCTCTGGCACAGGTCCCAAGAGGGCACGGCACCACCATGAGATGAAGAGACCTGGAAAGGTGGGGTGGCTTCAACAAGGGATCAAGAGGATACCCCAGCTGCAGCTGGTGCCAGACAGGGGCCCTGATCCCCGGCGAGCAGCGTCTGCAGCTCCTGCTCAGAGTGATCCTGCCGCTCTTGCCCATGTCCCACCATCCATGCACTCCTGCCATCGCCCTGGCCTTCTGGGCCAGCAGCGTTTCCTGTGTCTGGACCCCAAGGGACCCGATGTGAGGAACGCTAACAGTGCCTGGCATACTGCAGGTGCTCGCTAAGCCTTTGTGGGAAGCAGAAAAACTCCCATTTCTGGCTTGAGTCCAAGCCTCCCTCTCTTCCGCATGGAGATCACTGAGGACCTACGACTGACAGAGAATTAGAATCCTTCTGTGCCAAATTAAAGACTTTGGATTCATATACATCTCCCCAGTCTTCCAAAGACACTTTATGCTGTATGTTTGAGAAGTTGGTTAAGAAACAGATCATGCTAGAGTTGGGCAGGGTAACATTTGTCAAAACTCCATTTCTGAGTGCTAAGTGCTGCTGGACAGACACCCACCCTGACATGTACACACAAACCTGGTGACATGCAGCCTGGGTCCTCAGCACCTGCTCCCCAGCCCGGGATACCCCTGCCATCCACCGTCCCAGCCAGGCCTTCTTCACCCTCTCCACTGCCTCCCAACAGACATTAAAGCAGTGGTTCTCAACCTTCCTAAAGCCACGATATATTTTCATTGTTACAAAGGGGTTGCGACCCACAGGTTGAGAATCACTACATTAAAGTGACTGTACCGACAGCATGGAGGCATACCCTTCTAACTTCAGATTTCCTCAGTGGCTACCCACCTGTTCCCTAGGCCTGTCTTGAGGAGCTACAGCCTCTGCCCTTCCAGGGGCGCCTCCGCCTCTGGCCCTCCGTCTGCTTTCTGGCTTCTGCCATGGCTTGCCCCGCTGCTCACCTCTCTTTCCCTTTGACAGTTTCTGCCTTCTCACTCCCTTCCCCAGTCTAGAGTAGGTCAATCTTCTTCCTCCCTTACCACTCTCTCAGGAAACTTTTTACACTCCCCTCCCGGGACCGCCTCCCCTCATGAAATCTTAACGGATCTGCAGTTCACCTGCAGTGTGTCCCACGGCCCCCAGGAGGGCCACAAACCCTCTTAACATCTGATATTCTTTCCTTCTCTGAGAACTACTTTTGGCCCCCTTGGCGTGATCATCCTGCTGAGAATGTGCACCTTAACCGGGGCAGACCTGGTCCTCAAGAGCTTCCTACGTGACCAGTGCCCACTCTCTCCTCCCTATGCCACAGCACCAGGGCCTCTTCAGAATCACCATGCCAGAAACCGCTGTGCAGAGCAGGCAGAAAAGAATTCCTACTTGCTGCAGCTCTACAAAGGCTCCTCTCTTGGGGGTGTGTGTGCGTGCATACACATGTGATATACTCTTCCTGCTTGGCAAACGGTAATCACTCAAATACTGAAATGGCTTCACGGAAACATTCATACGTGTTAGGGCTGAGAAACCAGCAGGCTCCAAATTCTCACCAATCAGAAAGAAAAGAAATTACACAACAGCGGTAACAGCTGCAGTTTCATTACACACGCAACAGCTATCAAAGTTCAGCCTGTTATTTCTAAACTGTGACATGAAAAAATAAAGCTCAAATGCTGCATGTCCACTTTGCCTCCTGGCAACTGCACTTGCTTCGTCTCACTGAGTCGAACTGCACTTGCTTCGTCTCAATGACTTGCTCTTTTGACATCAGGGAGGCGTTGGGCGTCCCCCGGGTTAGAATCACTTGCAGCATAGTTAATGGTTTTGCAGAGGCTGAAAGGGGCGAGAGTACTGGACAAGCCAAGCGCCTTGTTAGGGCCTGGGTTTCCCCGCAGCAAATGCACTCTGAGTTGCCCACCATGTGCCAGGCACTGTGCTAATGGCAGGTGTGCAATGGGGAACAGAAGGCAGCCATGCTGCTGGTGTCACCAAGATGAAGCCTGGTGGGACAGATGCTAAACACACCCTGAGACACATACATAGTCATCTGTGGCACATGCCACAGGCAGGCACGGAAGGTGCTCTGAAGGGCCAACTTCTCCGAGGAAGAAAGTCTAGGTGTAGGAGGGAGAAGGTGTAGCCCCAGCCAAGGGCCTGAGGCAGGAAGGAGCCTGAGGTGTTCAAGGAGGCCAGTGAGGCAGCCCTGGAAAGGACAAGGTCAAGTCTGTGATGCAAAATAAGTCTGGAGGAGCAGCAGGCAGGAAGCAGGGACAGGCCACACAGGACCTCATGGAGCAAACTAAAGATTTGGGTCATTCTCTCAAGGGAAGTGCCTGCCTCTGTCATTACAGGAGGCCAAAGTGATATAAAGAGACCAGTTAGGAGTCTACAAAAGAACAGAACACAACAGCCTGGACGTGGGCGCTGGTGGGGCGACAGAGAGGGAAAACGGACAGATGTGAGGAATACTTAGGAGGCCCAGTGAACAAGGCTTGATGATGCGGGGATATGGGAGATGAGATCAATCTGTGGCTGCTCAACTTTCTCCAAATTCCTCCCAGAGAGCACGACAGACAAGTGGGTTCCCTGACAATCAGGTTAGCTATCTTAAAAAGGCAAGACGGTAATTTAACAAATGGGTACCTAATCATCACCTTACTCATCTCCTGGGTCTGTTCTGATTTGATTACCCTCTCTCCCTGATTCTGCCCAAAGTTAGCAGAATCCACAATATTAAATGAGGGGGTTTGAGAATTGTTTTTAATGAATATTTGGCATGAACTAATGATCAGAATCTTTATTAGAAGTCTACTCAAAAATCTGAACATCCTGTGTTTGGCTTTTACTTTCCAAGTTACATTTAGCTAACTACACTAAGGAAGGTTTCCCAGATCACTTGCGTCTAACTTTGGCATTGCCAACAGTTTTCTGAAATACACTTAACTGTATCTCAGGTGGTCATAAGGTTTGCTCTAAGTGGATACAGAGACGTTTTATACATCTGACACACAAGATTAATTTTAAGTCTTTCTTGGTTCTGTATTTTTACTCCTTCCTGCACATGTTAAAAATGAAAGGCAGAGAGCTCCAGGGTGACTACCCATGCCTTAGGTCTAGCTTAAAATTAAGGAAGACTCTGAGAATCTACTGACTTGGTTTCCTCACCCTTAGGATTCCTATTACCACACTATTAACATTTTTTTCGAACACTAGGCCGCACTACTCATTCACAGGCTTGGTAAGTATTCAGCAGGCATCAACTACATGCTGAGCACTGGACATACCCAAAGGGCCTCGAAGGGCCTACAGTGCACAGCTAAGCTAGAGGGCAGCATGACAAGGGGGGCTGGACGGAGCTGGAGAGAGAATGCGGCTGTGTGGAGGGCATAGTGCAGCCAACACTGGGCAGTGAGGTGTCACCGGGAACAGTGTGACGGTGCCCAGCAGCTGGTGGGGGCAGGAGGAAGGAGCTCCTTCCCAGAGGAGGGCAGGGTTGGGTAGTCAGGGGTCCTGAGCCATGCCAGCATGACAGCCCAGTAGAAGAACTACACAGTCTAGATTTCAGAAACATTGCCTATGGGGGCACACACAGACTGAGCCAAGGGCAAAGGGAGGGGACAAGGCTGGAGGGAGCAGGAGGCTGTTATGGTAGCACCATCAGGGACTAAGCGGAGTGTGAAGCAGAGGGAGAGCCAGTCTATAGGACACCGGCCTGGGGAGGCAGTGTGAGGAGAGAGGAGGGCTCCAAGGAGAGGTCATCACTTTGGGCGGGAGGTGATGGTGGCAGAGGTGGACTGGGAAAAGGACATGGGATGCTGGAGCCTTTTGGGAAAAGCAGTGGACGAGTCAGACCCGGAACACATGGAGACTAGAAGGCAAGTGGGGGCTGGAGATGAGGGGTGGTGGTGAGCAGAGCTGGGCTGTACAAGGATCCCCAGCCTTCTGGATGTGACGGGAAAGCAGAGGGTAAAGACTGGGCACAGGTCACCCAGGACACTGAAATCATGGAGAAGAGGAAGAGCAGTTAGTGTCAAAGGCAGGGGAGGAGGAGAGGAGACAAGGACTGGGAGACATCCTGAGTGTCTCGTGCTGGAGAAGCCCCTGGTTCATCCTCTTTGCCCATCACAAGGTCCCCCTGCAGGACGGCAGTGTCCACTTGTCTGTGAGGATTCTTAGCCATGAGGTTGTGATATGGTGGGGGGAGGAGGGGAGGTACGGGGTCCAACAAGAGATTTTTAGTGGACCCGTCTATGATTTATAACAAGTCACAAGTCTCTTATGTCTGCTGCCTGAGGTTCTGCTACGAGCCTCAAAGCCAGCTGGGAGGAAGGACCACCCAGAGACCCTGAGCTCCATCACGCCCAGAACTCACTGGTGACTGGAAGTTTCCTGGCTCAAATACAGAACATGGCGTGATAAGTGATTTGGGTTTTATGTGATTATTTTCTAGTTCAACAATATTTGCCCCCACTGGTCACTAATCCCTTTATAATGAGTGGCATTTATCTTCTTTTCTGAGACTTTCTAAGATTTCACTAACCCAAGCGGGAAGAGACCTGATCCGTAGCTTCACTTGTGAGACTAACCACAGCACTGAAAACTATAAAGTGACAGAGTCACAAATGTGCTTTTTTGATAGCAGGATATACTTTCAATCATCTCCGATGCAATAAAAAATAAACCCATTTCATTTTCCAGATGGCAACCCTTAAAATGAGTTCTATGATCTAATTAATTTTGAGGCCATGCAGATTTGGTTTGACATGAGAAATATCTGTGGGCTCTTATGAAAGGACAGGTGCCAGGGTCAGTTGCTGCCTTGAGATCATTTCCCAAGAAGCGTCATTATTACTGGGGGACAAGCAAATCACAAGGTTTAGACTTAAGACACACCCATCCTCCTATAGACCCTTAGGATGACGATGAAAAAATCCCAAGCAGGTGACTTTACCCTTGAAATTAACTTTAAGAACTGATCCAGCCTCAGTGACAGTGTAGCAGTAACAAAGCAAACCTGAACTGAATGGCAGAACGGCCTGGGCCTGTCATGCTGGGCCCCTGGGATGAGTGTCACCATGGCAACAGAACCAGGGAGAAGCAAGGAGAAAGGCCGTGCTCCTCAGCACTACCCACTCACAGGCATTTATCTGCACTGCTGTGCAAACAATCACAGAATTTCCCAGAGAACCCAAATTCTGAAAGCAAGGTACAAATCAAACACTCCCATTCGGGTTTACTTCAGGTTAGAAAGGGGAGCTGGTTCTTGCCCCAGAGACCTCTTAGAATTTTTGTACAGAAACAGAGAAAGGCCTGGAAATGGGGAGTGATTCTCTGACATGGCAGGAGGGCATCACTATAATAAGCTGATAATTAACATTCAGAGCTCCTGGTGGTTGTTTTTAATTGTCCAGCGAATCTGTGTTACAGTCGATGAAGAAAGACACCACTCGGAAAGGCAGAGAGGAGTTCCCAGGTTACCCACACGCACCTGTCCGAAATTTTCTTCATCTATGCAGAACATGAGGTCCAGCTCAGTAGGGTCATTTTCTAGGATCCACTTCAAAGAGTTGTAATATTCGCTATCCTACAGAAATGACACAGAAATTGAGATTCGACTTTTTTACCCAAATGCAAACTTTTGTGGTATCTTTAAATAATTAAGTTCTTCCGAAGTAATTCCATGTAGAGTTCTCAAGAATTACATCTCTCACTAATGTCATGTTCCCTGCCTTGCCCCCAAACTAAATCTTCATCTTTAATTTATAACATAAACGGAGGTATTTTGGTGGTAATGGGGGCTTGTAGGTGAATCCTGTCCTCTCTAGAGCATGGCAAAGGAAGCTACTCCAATGGAGGACAGACTGTGCACACAGTCCTGGTGCACAGAATTTGACTTGCGGAGACACTATGTGTCTTTAAAGACTGCAACTTTCAGAGAAGGACAGGAAGGCCAGGGAATGTTCTAACCAAATACCACGATTTTAAGTTATACCCTTTTCTGTGCTTTTATTGCTCTCTACAAGTTAATTTAAGCCAAACAGGCAGCTGCTCTGATTTCGGAATCTAGAGCAGGAGGCGGAAGTGCCCTTGGCTCCCCTCCCTTCTGTCAGGCCCAGGGTCCCTCTTCTGAAAAGGGAAAAAATATGTGCGCTGTATTTAAAGTGCTAACTGCCAGCGTCTAGTATTAAATTAGCCTCTAAGAGCAATCCCTACGCTCCTGTAGCAGAAGCATAAAGCAGAAACAAAAGGTGAAGCTGGAGAGAAAGCCGAGACAGGTGCCACGGAGGCACCAGCCCACCCACCCAAGACGGGCCCCCAGCAGTGGGTTCAGAGCTCTGCCAGCTTCCTCTGGAGGAGCAGGAATACCGCTGGCGCCAAGGCCAGCCACTCGGGAACCTTCCAGCTCAAAGGGTAGAACATGAAAGTAGCCCTACAAAGACCCCAGATGGGCAGAGACGCTTCCACTGGGCTTGGGTGGGCCCCGGCACATTGGCAAACACCCTCACGCCTGGTGGGGAGCAGATGGTGGGGTACAGGTAAGTTAAAAGAGAAACAGAAGCAAGAATATATTATGAAAGGAATGTCACTTTTTGTTCTTATAGAAAATCCTTTCAACTCTAAAATAGTCTATGTGGGTAAAATTAGTAAGTTAAAGGCAACAAGAAAAACTGCATCCTTGTGGGGAGAACTTCTCACAGCATTTATGTCTCACTTTCCCACGCTGCAGTGGTCATGACCCTTCCCCGTCTAGGAGGACTTACTGTTTTGGCCTTGTCTCTGCCGTTTTTATGAGGTCAGAGAACAGAGATTCACCTGCTATCCCTTTGTGTTCTGTGAGAGAGATGAGATAACTTCTCAATGACATGTTCCCTGCTGTTCGCACTGAATGACAGCAACCCTATCAACTGCCGGGTAACACTCCAAAACTGAACATGGTCACCGTTGTGCGCGAGTCCCCCCACAGTGGCCAGCGTGGGCGATGTGGATTTACTCACCACAGATTCCATGTCATTCAGCGTGATCTGCTTTCCCAACATCATTTTGTAAAATGGTCTAATGAAGAAACCTAAAATATGGGGAAAACTGGGTTTAGTTTCTAGTTGATTCAATGTGGTCTCAATTTGACTGAGAAACCAGGAGGCATGAATGGCTGAGGGCCTCTGCAGTAAGTCACGGACAGGTGGCAGGCGGGAGGGCAGCTATGCTGAGAAATGTGGCAAAGAGGCAAAGAGGGGACGGAAGGGCCCTGGGAAGTGGGAGAGGAGCTTCCAGGTCAAGGAAGGGTCTGCAGTACAAATAAGGCCCATGAACTGGGAGAGCAAAGGGCCCTCCGAGCAGAGGAACGAGACTGCAGACTCGCTGGAGATATGCCAGGGTGGACGCACACAGGGTGCCCTTGGAAGGCCAGGCCAGAGATGGGGTCAGGCACTGCACAGGTTGCACTGGGTGCCAGAGTTTGGGGTGTTCCCTGAAGGTGATAGGGAAGCCAGGGGAAAATTCCTTCTGCATTTCAGAATCACTGCTTGGGCAGTTATGGGGAAAAAATCCTGGGAGAAAACACTGGAAGGAGAGTAGGTGGAAATGAGGGACACAGCTGAGCAGGCACGCTCAACCTCCTGGGGACGCAGCAGCCTCGGAAACGCCGGCATGGCGACAACTCTTCCACCACACAGGTGTCCCACAGGGACTGTCACTTCACCTGGTCCAAAGGCAGGCTGGCATGATGTGACGCAGTCCCACCAGACCTAGCATCTCAGGCTTCTCACCCCCTCCACCCTTGCCCACTGGGCACCAGTGCCTGTAGCACAGGCCAGACCCCCTGGGTAAGTGTGGCACTTCAGCACCTGGCTAGTCTGGTGAGGGAAAAGCATGAAGCCAGCCACGTGAAACAGGGGGCAGACGTGTACCCCCACCTGCAGTACACTGCCATGTGCACCCTGGCTCTTCATTTTGCAATTCTTGGCTTACATAGTGTGACAACTTTTGTGGAGACCTCTTCAGCTGTCTCCTGGATCCCCCTTTTGTACTTGCTTCCATCCACCTGCCTCTGGGAAGCCTTGCCTTGTGGCCAGTCTTCTGACCTGACCTCAGCCTCTGAGTGCCCAATGCTGCCCCACCTGTCCTAGAGAAGTGCTGTCTGAGCTAGATCAGCTTCTCCTCTGCATGCTCACTGTGTTCCCTTCGGCCTGGACGCTATCACTGTGATTCTTCTGTTGTTTTATTATTAGTATTATTTTGGAAATAGTCTCACTCTGTTACCCTGGGTAAAACGCCATGGAGTCATAGCTCACAGCAACCTCAAACTTTTGGGCTCAAGAGATCCTCCTGTTTCAGCTTGAGCTGGGCCTACAGGTACCCTCCACATTGCTCACCTAGTTTTTCTGTTTTTAGTAGAGATGGGGACTCACTCTTAGGCTGGTCTCGAACTCCTTAGCTCAGAAAATCCACCCTATCTCACTCTCCCAGAGTGCTAGGATTACAGTGTGAGCCACCAAGCCTGGCTTGATTCTCTTGTTTTTTTTATTTCTTTGTCTCATTAAACTATTCACTGAGGTCGAATCACATCTTATACTTTGCCATATTCCCCTGTGAGCAACTAACAGTGTCTTCTCACTTAGAAGAACTGACATTCTTCTATGAAGGTTGAAGTAAATTAGAAATGAAGTATGGAACTCACAGCATCAAAATCAGTCAGTGATAGTAAAAATATATTAAAGGGGAAAGTAAAGAGGGCATATCAATTATTTACTGGACTAGTTAAGGCTCCACAAATGCAATTGGTATATTATTTCTCTGGGAATATCGTTATTATCAGTAACTGCAATGTCAATCTCTAATCTTACTGTCTTCCAACCTCAACCATTCTACCCTTAAGTTGTTAAAAAATATTTCTGATTCTTTTTTCTCACACTCGATTTCAGCAAAGAAATGACCCAATCCATTAAAAGTCTCTATTATAATAAGCCTATAGATACACTGCCAGGTAGAGGATTTGATTTCTAACATGCATGTTAGAGTCATTTGAAATTTTCCCATGATTTGTATGCTCTAAATAAGAACAAAATCATTTTGTGTCATCTGTTTTGGAGCTAAGGTCTTCGCTGGGTTTTAACATTACTTTGAAATTATTTAAAAAATAATAATTTGGGGACAAATGGAACAATGACAGAATACTGGATGGATTAGATCATTTTAATTAACTTTTCAATTAGCTTGTCCATCTGTCAACAAATTTGGCTCTCCTTAAAGAAAAGTTATTCTGAAAAACAAAATGTATAAATACGGAATGTTGTGTTTTACACTTAAGTTTTTAAAAAAGAATATTTTAAAACTATGTGTAAACACTATGTTTTTTAACCCCCAAATTAAGATGATATCAGGGGAAAGCATCTCCATTATGGCCAGAACATAAAAATATCTCATTGGATTAAAGAGAACTAGTAAAGCATCTGCTTAAAAATCTATGATGTGAAAGATAAGACACTTATTAGGGAAGAACAAACAGCACTGCTGTATTTTTATCACTTTTTAAGACTTTTTAATAACTTACCATCTAAGAGTTTCCCATGAAATACTGCCAGGCCAGCAACTCTTCCAATAAAAGTGAAATAGGACAAATGATCTTCATTACAGAGGCCTGAATTTGGATTGATCTGAAGGGTATAGTTGTCCCTTTGGGGGAAGAAGAGAGAGAACAAAAGCCTGATTATATTTTCAAATAAGAAATGCAAGAACTGGAATTTTGCTTTGCTGTTACACAACCTTTCCAGTGTCCCTGCAAACATTCCGTCCCTAGTGGGAAAAGTGTAAGCTGGAGGACATGACCAGCCACCATGGTTTCTGTGACCGACCACGGAGATCTATGAGAGCAGATGCACATGCCCTACACAGTAAGTCAAATCATTAGAAACTGCTGATGTGTGACTATTTTTGACCTACCAAAGTCTCTTTCACATATATGGTTCAACAGAGAATCTTGGGAAGATGAGAAACCCCATGTAACAAAACAGCCATGCAGGGATTCCTGACGATGTGTGTACTTTAGGTTGACTGTAATAAAGGGAAATCAATTCCTTCTGGAGACTTTGAGTTTGGGTGTAAGATTTTTTCCTACTGGTCCAATCCTTGGTCTGTGTGATGACTACTCAGGGACACTGGGAACAGGATACGGCTGCCTCAACAATGCAAACCTGCAAATGTTTTGGTGTGTCCAATGGTCCTCCTTTAATCTCAAGGTCGTGAGGACCTGGGGTTTCATACTGAGTTCTACAGACAGGTTCCTTCACTGGGTATCTTTGGGAAAATGGGTAGGAGATGAAGATTTTGCCTCCCTACCCTGCCCTCTACTTTTTAAATCAATTGTACATGATAGATTTTCTTATGGGACTCAGTAATAGTAACAGCAAACAATCGGGCAGTTCTTGGCTAAAGCAACTGAGAAGGATATGGAGACTGCCTCCCAAATGGAGCCCCCAAGACACTGGCACCAGCTGGGAGATGTGGGTGAACCTATGTTCCCCTAGAGCTCAGGATTGAACAGCTACTCCACTGGGGCCTTGGGTCCCACTAAACCTTGCAGGATCCATAGCCTAGTGGAGGAACAGTTGGGCCCATAAGTAGCCAGTGTCTGACTGCTGAGAAAGCACATTAATCTGCCGCAGCCTCCAGGCCTGGGAATGATGAGGTATCAACACAAGGGGGAACAGGACGAGGGCAGGCCCTTTGTGTCCTCAAAGTCCTCATAATTTGCCTTTCAGTAATGTGATTTCAGAAAGCATTCTTATTTATAAAATAAATCCTTCCCCCCCACGACAACTCCTCTTGAATTAATGTTACAAATGAAAATTGCCTTTTGTTCCTTACCATAATTACCCAACCCATTTTCGATTTCAATTCCATGAACCAAAGAGACAAAGGAAGAATCAACTTGAGGCATTCACAGAGTCTGCTATTTCACCACGTAGAAGAACCTCCTCTAAACATATGAGGGGTGGGGTGGGGGGGACTGGACCCACCAGTGTTGCTTCCTCTTAAGGGAGAGTGACACTCCCTCAGTTTCTCATGGGCCCCATATACTCACGTTGCAGAGTACTCAAAGAGGCCATAGTAGGGGTTGAACATCTCTTTGGACAGCAAGAAGAACCATTCTCTGGCTACACCACCATAGTCAAGACCTTTCTCTGATTCAAATTCGATCCACAGTCTAGCTTTCAGGACATCTGGTCTTTTCACAGACATGATTCTCCGATAGGACTCTTCAAATATGTTATTTCTGTGAAGTTTCATTTCAAACCTATTTGGAATATCAGCCTACACGAAACAGAAAAAAAAACCCCACATAACGTAAATATACATCATACTTCCTACTTAAAAAATAAAAGAAAAAAAGAAAAGAAAACCAATAAAGGGTAGAAATAATGGCAATCTTCAAATAAACAAGCAGTGACAAATGGTTCCAGCTGAGACTCTCTCTTCTGTGGGTTTCCCTTGCACGGACAGGAAGCCTCACTGTGTCAGGAGGGGACACATAGCATCCCCCCAGTAGCTGCTCAGGCTGAGCCAGCAGCTCTGCTGAGTAGGAGGAAATCCTCCCTGCTCCATTTTATAAACAACTGTGGGCACTTAGCCACCCAACAGCAACAGAAAGGTATCAACTCTTCATGCTGTTTTGGTGAAGGAAAGAGACTCTAGCTTGGATAACTAAAACCTATAAATAATCCCCAGCTGGCCAGTACTGGACCACATTCAACTCTGGTAGAGACTCCAAGTAGGAAATATGATCCACACATCTGCCTAAATTTTGTCCCAGGGGAGCGGGGGACCCTGACCATGTCAAGTTTGGGGAAAGCATCCCAAAGTCCACAGTTCATTGCCATGAGAATAACAAAACAC